GACACTCACTCAGCTGTGAAGAGCCCTTTTACCCTTGCACTTCCTCTTCCCAGCTGCATGAAACATGGATCTGAGGACTGTAACTACAGCAGCCACGTTGGGCCATGAGGCAGTCATGAGAATAGACATCCGGTGTTCCCCCGGAGCCTCCCACGTGGAAGGAAGAGGGCTCTTTTACTTACTTTGAAAAATTGTAGTTCACATAATCGATCTTCAGGAATTCGAGCGTCTCAGAGCCTTTTAAATCTGGGATGTGCTTTTCTTTTATAATTTGTTCCATCATCTCCATCCCAGCTTGGACACCTGAGAGGGAAACAGGCAAAGGTTTGGGGGTAACAGCGAAGACCACACAAGTGCACGGCCTCGAGGACGGTGCGTGGTCACAGAAGAGCGCAGCAGGGGCCCAGTGGGGGCGATTGTTTCCCCTCCGCACAAGGAGACGTGAGTCCTCACAGAGCCAGCGTCACCAGGAGCTTCCTTGTGTGGCCAGGGCTGGCAACAGCGTGCAGGGAAGCTGCAGGGACCTTCAAAGTCAAGCACACTGTAGGGGGCCGTGCGGCTGAGAATGAGAGGGTCTCACCTCAAATCCAAGCAGTCTGGCTCCGGAATCTGCCTGCCCCGCCCGATCCCAGAAAGGGATTCCACCTTTGTCTTTCTTTCCACCTGCTTGTGGGCCTGCAGCCCACGGTGCCCAGGGGGCTCTTGGCCCACCTGAGTTTAGTAACACGCACCACACCATTTACAGTGAAACTCACACCGCTCCAGAGGGTTCCAAGCCCCCTTGGAAATCCAGCCCTTTCAGAAGCTTGAAATGAGTGGACATTGCCCCAAAGTTCCCATCTGACACCCTCTAGTGCACCCTCACCTGGAGCCCTGTGATGTCACCGTGTGTGGGTAGACGGCAGGGGGTTCAGGAGCCCTGTTGGGGTACGCCTCCCCTGGGTAGATGTTTCAGCAACACTTTCTCCCCAGCCACCTCGGAAGTCCTGTAGTAGCATCTGTCCCAGTCCCCAGTCTGCCCAAGTCCTGAGCTCGGCCTTCCCGGGAGCCACAGCTGGGCTTCTGAGCCCCACTCACCATAGTCCAGCGCCCGCTGAGTGACCCTGGCCGTGATCCCGGCATGGGCGGCCTGGGTGAGTGCGCCTCGGAGACTCCACAGGAGCAGGCATCCCTGGAGGACCAGGCCCATCTCGGCTCGCACCTGCGGGGAGTAGCACACACGGCCCCTGCTCTCCTCCACGCCCCTCCACAGCCCGCCAGCCTCTCTGGGTCTTGACTCCCCATGCGCCTTTGCGCAGACGACCCGCACCTGCAATGTGGCCTCCTCTGTGGGCCCAGCTGGGTTCCAGATGGTAAGCAGGAATTGGACACAGGACCCCAGAGAGGTGGATACAGGTGGGCCCCAATCTCCATTTCCCCCAGTGGAAGGGGGACCTCCCAGGCGTGTGAAAATATATGCACACGTGCATGTGCACACACACGTGAACTTATAACATTGCAGTCTGGCCCGACAGCCTTGCAGGGAGCTTGGGGACAGGGCTTGGTCCCGGGAAGGACACGGAGTGGGCGGGGTCTTGACAGATTTGAGCAACTGGGCAGTTTAGGCGGGTGGCACAGTGCTGGATGATGCCGCTCTGTGCATGGGCTCAGCCTGGCACCAGAGCTTTCTCTCTTGCCTGCCCATTCTGGATCACTGTCCACGCCGGCCCCGCGGGGCTCTCGGCCAGTTCTGTCCATGTGGGGCTGGGTGTTCAGCTTCGAGTGTGAAGCCCCCGGGCCAAGTCCTCCCTGCCCCATCACACGCCACGCTCTGTGTGGTGCTGAGTGTGCCGGGCCAGCGTCTCCTCTGTGAGCGTCCCTCACCGGGCCACGCCCCATCACCCTCTGCTCTGTGTCTGGCCACTTGTGTGTGATGCACGCACACCCAGCTGAGCGTGTAACTCGCGGGGCCGCTGCCCGGACTCTTACCTCCTCCCCACAGCCTGGGCTCAGCCCAGTGT